AAAGTACTGTATATAAAGATATATAAAGCAAAAAAACTGATTGGAGACTATTAGGCCTATTTAAGCAAAGGAACAAATGCATCTATCTTGGCTGGGTGACTATGAAGGTCTTTTTTAGTCATGTGCAACTGAAGACCTCCACTCCTACTGGGTCCTTTTGTCAGCTAGTCCTGGAGCAGTACCCGTCTGTGACTCACTCAGCCAGTACTTCCGGTTTTGTTTCACCTCCACCAGTGAGCTTGTACTATGACTGAGGTAACCGGCAGTCATCTGGATCGGTGGTTTAACTGTAGATGGCTTCCACTGTGGTTCAACATCTCGGTACCATTAAGCTGTAGAGCTGCAATGATTGGTCCATTAATGTGAATATTTTCTGGGTCTTTAACTCCTCTATGACAGTAAACCTAATATCTATGGGTTGTGGACTAAAGACATTTGAGGACGTCACCTTGGGCTTTGGGAAACAGTGAGCAACATTTTCACATTGTCCGGACCAAACAACTAATCTATTAATGGAGAAAATGATTGACAGATGAATCAATAATTAAGCTATCTATTCAGCTGTAGGAACTCTTAATGATCAGCAATCCACTGACTATCTGAAAGATGGAAGAAGACTTTAAAACCTAAAGACTCCAATAACCAGCTTCTTGTAACCGATGCCAACTAACCCTCTAAACAACACACCATCTTTTAAACCCTAGGAGGTGTGGGAATCCAAGCACAGTCTACCCAGAATGCTGCTGAAGCTGAAAACAGGGAGGTAAAGAAACAATAAGACAATGGAAGCAAACAACTGTTTTTAATGCTTTTATTCACTGACTAAAAGAAGAGAAGCATTCATTCAACATTAATTCAATTCAACATTCGGCAGGTTGACCCCTCAAGTGTACTCCATCTGTCAATTAAGAGGTTTTACATGGAGGTTTGTAATCTATCCTCCCTTTACTCCACAACAGAACCATGGATCAACACTGTTCTTTATGATAAAATCTGTCCTCTCAGCAGGAGAGGACTCTTTCCCGGCAGACTAAACCAAAAAAACAGCTGGAAATGATTTCAGTCTTAAATTTACTCAACAGCAGTTTCACAAACATACATTAAAGTCAAGTCCTCAACTAAACTGCTCTTATATATGGACAATAGGGGGCTGTTTTTCGCGCTGGAACCTTTCTTTGCTGGTTAGGGCAAGTCTAAAACCATGCTGTTGATAAACCAGCTTAGGTGTGTTTGAAGCTCATACAACTCTGTCTGAGTCATGCAGATACATTTTAGTTAGAGACTACAGTCAGGTGTTTGTAAAGCTGTGTACAGATCAGATTTGAAAGTTTTTGTTTAAAATATGCTCCATGTTATTTGAAATGTAGTCCAGCTGTGTTTTGGGTCCCGTCTGGTTCCCTGCTTACAGGAAGAAGGTAAAACCCACTGCTATGTGCTCACTTTAACAAACACAATCACACAGGAACATAACGCTCAGAATATTCAACATTGAGGATGGTAAAACCATTTTCGCAAAAAACACACAACAACATAGCTTCTGATTTACAAAGTCTGTGTGATTTCATAATATACTTCATGTTCATAAATTGAACCCGGACATGTGTTGCATAAGAGTATAACACGGTAATGCATGGTTGATACCTATACAAATATGCACTGTGAGAGTTTATATATCTATTTATATAGTTTATATTTCTTCCTCTATGGTTTTCTAAAGACGCAGCCGGGCGCTGTCAGCACTGCTTGTGCCCCTTTGTGGCCACTAGTAAGACTGCTGTTATTGCAAACTGTCCTGATTTTAAACAAATGCACAACATTCGTACCACGATAAAACTAGGGGCCATCTAGCCAGTCTCACAGAGACCAAGAGTGAGCCCGCCGTCACCGCTGCTGTCGCTGGGCTGGCTGACCAGAATCAAAAGATCTTAAAACTAAAATGATAAGATTTCATAAATCATCATAAGGCCAAGTATTGTCATTGCAAGTTCTTATTAGTTTACGTCTTCATTTCTACTGCATGACAGTGAGAAAAAGAAAAAGAAAATATAAAAACAGGAAACAAACTGAGAAGAGTGTGGATTATATGCATTCCTCTTGCATAGTTGTGAGGCTGGACTGGGTAGCAGGCCTGCCTGCCTGGCTAATTAGGAGCTTTGGCTCTCCAGACATGACAAGAAAGACTTTGTTTAGCAGCCAGAAACATCAGAGCCACAGTAGCTGAGATCTAAATGAAGATAGTTGGCTGACACTGAGCATGAATATCTATCAGTTTCTTGATATAGCCAGGCACTACACACCAACCTCTAGGGTATGCACCAGAGCTACTGACAGAGTTTGGCCAGGTTATGCTATCAGTGCCATTTTGTTGTTTCTTCTCTAGAAATTCAGTGTGGCAAGAACATAATAATACCCTTAATATGACTGTTATGCTGGGATCATCATCATTAGCTGGCTGGAAAACAGATTTAGAACTAGAGAATCCAATCTTCCTCTAAGGCTCTCAGTGTGGCTAACTGCTAATGGCCATGCTCTGTGTGAACCTCCCCATCACCCAGATTATGTCAGGCCTTATACACATCCATCTGTATCTGTTACACAGGACTGATTTTATACCAGTGCAATGCACATCCAGTGTTTTTCTCCAAGTAACAGAAACATAGAATAGGATGTTAACTTAGATTCTTTACATTCCTGCATGAGTCCAGCCCTAGGTGAGCCCATTCAGAGTCTTGCATGTACTGATAGTAGTCTATGGTCATAGCATTTAGACAATATAAAAAAAAAATAAAAATAAAAAATAAAAAAAAAATCAAACAACAAATAGGAAGTGTTTGAATTCTCACATTGTGATGAGGAAACCCTGTCTTTTAATCCCTTCAGAAACAGGACACGTTCCCCGAATCTGTTTTAGGGAAAGTTTTAGGCCCAGAACCATCTTACTACCTTTTTTCTACGGCTAGATTGAGTATACTTTCCAAAAACACCCAGAGAGCCAACATTATTAACTCTCAAGCTGGCACTGAGTCTGAGCAATGATCGAAGTGGAAATGAAACTGCTCATGTGTGATGTGTGTCTGCCTGTGGCTCTGAGCCTGTGTTTAGACTGATGCAGATCTGACACAGTCTGCTGCTTTGGTACTAAAATAACACACGCTCACATTTCTGTCCATGTCAGTGGTATTAGTATTGGCTATTAAGTATTAGCAGAAAAGTGTCAAACCCAACTCTTTTTATATATGGGCCTGGTAGGACAGACGTATCCAGATCCTTACATATATCTAAAGTTCTGTGATCACAACACTTTTAATAAGCTATCAAAGCACACTGTCTCAGATGGACTACATGAGAGGCCAGCTCTGTGGATTCAATTAGGCCACAGGGGCCCTGTTATCTTCCAGGATTTCTATATGAATGCATATAAAGAGCACAGGGAAAAAAAAACAAACAGGTCAATAGGGCAGATCCAACTGGCTGCAACAACATCAATGTACAGTAACTGCGGGTAATGGTCTCCTGAATAACTGACACCCCATCTCCCCTCTAGAGCCTTCAAAGCTGTCATGTATTGGCAAAGCTCATTAAAAGTAAGGCTCTGCTAGCTGTGTGTCAATCAGTCTCTGTGTATACACAGTATAGTATAGTCATACACAAACCTCTGTCTGCATATGGTGTATTAATAAGTCCATGTGCCCCTGTGTATCCAAAGTAAATATGTACTGTGTGTATTCATGTGTGTATTAAATATGCTCACTTCCTCTCACTATACTCTGATGTTCTTTAACCTGGCAGACTGATTCAGTGGGTGATACCAACTCATTTCATGGACAGAGTAATTAGTCTTTAAATGTTAGCACAATCAGTGTAAATTGCTTTCACATGTGACCTTTAGTGTACCAGACACAAAAGGCCCCAAAATGGCCTCAGGATGCTGGCGCATCAAGTGAAAGCCAAGCTTGGCCTTGCAAAAACACATGTTAGAAATACGGTCCACCTTTTGAAAGAGCGACACACCACTTGTAAATGGTATCACACCTCTACTCTGCTCAGACCAGCTGGTAATCTGGTGTGACTGGTCAATACTACCCCCAATCCCTTCGAAAAACAGACAAAGTAAAAAAAATAGAGTATATATTTATATAGAGTCTAATTTCCATGCAGACACTTCAGTCACGTAGTAAACTGTTTGCTAGTGAGATGGCCTGAGCGACCTCCCATGTGGAATGTCCTGTTCCTAGCAGATCTCTAGCAGCGAATCACATTACAGCTCCAAAAAGCCTGGGACTAAACACTTCTCATCAAACTTGACCTTGGCCACGGGCTTGCCAACGTTTCAGATCAGGCACATTGGCCGTTGTCCCTGCTAGCTTCTAGAAGCATCTGAGGGAGTGTTTAGTCCCTGACGTGTTTTGATATTAAACCGAACTCTGCGTCCTCCTCGCCTTTAGTTTTACATTCACTCACTCCTCACAGTGAAACAGTTGATGGAGAAAAAAAAGTTGTTATATTTTTGTTTCGTTATAAATATTGATACAACTCCAGACTTCTCTGCTTAAGCCTCTGTCGCACTATAGAAGTACACTGCACTGGACTAGAAAGGCCTTGTTTTGCTGTATGATGACTCAGCAACATGCAGTGTGACCTTGAATGCCTTTCACAAAGAGGAATTTGGCCACATTGTACAAGTTGTGCACCGATGCTGCTTGTTGGATAGAACTGTGCCTTCTGTAACACACAGTCTATACAGTGTGAAATCCTACGTTTCCGAACATAGGGTGCAGCCACTAACACAACGTTGGCTAAACCTTTGCATAATAAGGTTTGCTTTGGTCTCTTTTCATGCCAACCACAGAACGACACTTTACCTGGTCCAGCACAGTATGGTCCATAGTATAACAAGGGCAGAGTTTGGACACACACACACACGGAGTGGTAGTAGTCAAGAGTTCAGTGGAAGAAACCAAGAGTGGAGTGGGACTAAGGGGGAAGAAAGAAATGAATGCCAGGTTAGAAAGTACTAGAAGGAGGTGTGGAGTAGAGAAGAATACTGGACCAGCCTCCTGCCAGTGTGTGTGTACATGGGCACTTCAGATAGACTTGTGTCTTGGTTTAGTTTGTTCCACTGTGGTCTTTGGCAGCTTAAAACACATCAAGGGAGGAGAACAGATCCAGTGACTCCTAATACTCATAAGAGTGAGCTAGAGGCCTGAGCTATTGTAACTTTCCCTCTGATTGTACCCTGAGAACGAACGATTTCTGTTCCTGTTTCCTGCTGCAGTAGAAGTGATAAGACTACACTGCTGAACACGAGGCCCCCCCCCCTTAAATACACACACAAACGCACACACGCTGAAAACATCTGATGGCTGCACTGCTGACAATTTGTTCCCACACACATTCAGAACATCTTATTCACACATTTCTACTGGATACACTTTTTAAAGATTACATGAAAACGTATAATACAGGCACGCTCCAAGAGAAATTTAAAACATGCCTGTGCTGAAACCCTAGCTACTGTAGCTTCTAATGCTGCTTCCCTAAAGAGTGATCTAAGAAGCATAGCAACAACTACAGACAACACAAAGCTGACAACTTAGGGAGAGCAGTGGTTTGAAAATCAGTAAGACTCCAGAAGCTTTCAGGCACAAGATGGCTCAATAGTCAACTACTGCCGATGATACAAAGGGATCAGGAATATGTCATTTTCCCACTGACAGTAGTAAATGCTATGCTGTACTGTGACCATGTTTTGTCAGACTCTTGGAGTGGAAGTAATTTGCCTTACTGGCAGAACTTTGTCTCACCTCTTCTCTCCTTGCTAGGACAACACTAAAATACTAGCATGTTTTGGTGAAGAAACAAAAACCAACAGATGTGATCATAAAGAAGACATTGTTTTGCAATGCCTTTTTGCTCTCATGCATATCGTCTACAAGATCTTTCCTCTTTCTCTCTGCACTTTTGTCTCCTAAATGTTGTTATAATATTTCTATATCATAAATCGTCACTTTTAATAATTTGATAATTTGTCCTGGGGCCTCCTTACTGGAAGACCTTTTTAACTGTATGCGAGTGGAATTCATGATTAGAACAGCACTTTAATACATTTTCCAAATGGGAATATTATAGCTGAATGACATTTTTTTATTCTGCTCTAGCTGACCATAGTCTGGGAAAACCCACAGCCCCTCCTTTTATTCTGGGCAGAAACGAGCCACAAGAGCTAAGCTGGACTGCCCAAACAGTGAGATCTGCCTTCTACTGTGGAGCCAATAACATGTGGGGACTTGAGAAGACAGGAAATTGAGGAGGAAGCACACATAGTGGGTAAAATTAGCTTTTTAAAATCAGCTGTTTGTAAAAAATCTATTTGCTAAGTTCAGATGACCTAGGTTGAAATTACATTCTACTGTAGACTGCTGTGGTTTTCCCCTCTGTATCAGGTGATGCCTATACACAGTACACACTTATAACAGATTAAACCTCTCACATAAAAGGAGCAAAGTTGAGCTCTAAAAAAAAAAAAAAAAAACACGATGAGAGGAAACATTGGAGGAGAGGAGGAGGAAGATGAAATAAAAACCAACATATTTTGGTCTGAATGTGTTACGTTGGTATTGCTAACCCCTCTGAGTGTTGGAGTGTACAGCACTATATACAGCCACAGGCAGCCTCTAAAAGAAACTCTTGGTACCAGGGTGCATTTATCCTGAGATATGGACCAAGGACTACTAGAGAGATTATCATGGCTAAACCATCAAGGTCCCTTAACAGATGAGCAAACATTTGGTAACCACAGGCCCACCACTAGGACTTATTCATTCAGAACCAAGCAAAGTGCTGGCACGCTGTATAACTCCGGTTCCATATCAGTCCATGGAAAAATCGCAGGTCAAGCTTGTAAACGACAGACCTCGATATGGTCATTCACAGTCTGCAATGTCATTGCTGCGACCTCTAAAGTGCCATGGCATGCACAACAGTGACTGAGCTGGAGCCATTTGGGAGGGTGTCTTTCCAAACAATGGCTAGTTGACAGTATTTACTTACAAAAGATAGGTGTTCTACAGCACAACCTAACTTTGATTTTCCTGGTAAAATCCCAACTCAGCTCAGGAAATGCCATAATAAGATACCAGTATATCACATCAGTCGCAACACTGGAGCCTCAGATGTAACCATACTTGGCCTAGGTCACACACACACACAGGACTAGGTTTTCGTGGAGCACAAGATATTTGGTCAGCAATGCTTGGCTTGAGCCCAGAACATGGCATGCTTGTACTTCCTACCACAGAGCCTGAATAACATTTATTTCATTTATTAGGGCAAAGGCATTCCCCTAGTAATATTTAAACATTAGAATCAGACTATGACTAGGACTGGATCAAAGTAAAGCCTTCACCCTAGTTAATGAAAGCCAGTTGCACATCCAGACAAGATCCGCTGTGCCAGACAGAAAATTCACCCCAGAAAATTGACTACATTCAGTTCAGACATTAATTGGGCCCAGCAGGTCCTATAATGACAGCATGGATTTTCTTCCACTCCACAGCCACTGTCTGTCCCCCACAACATCTACTGGAGATATTAAACATGTGCAATGAGCAGATTGGTTTTGCCATTCTTTAGTCTTTATCAACCTTAATCTTTGAAAACAAATGTATGATTAGGTTTGCTGACCCCCCCAACCAAAGCGGAGCAAGGGTTTATCAGATGGCAAGATAAACATCATTAATAACAACAATAACAACAATAACAACAACAACAACTGTATCCAGGAAACACGGGGCTGTTTCCAAGGCAACTGTGACTCAAGAGGAACTAAAAAAAGAAGGACAATATCTCACACTAACTGATTGTTTCACACACCCTACTCGACATCGTCACCATCACTGTCCTGGTCATAGTGATGTTAAAAGCCTACCTGAGACTGATGAGAGAAAAATGTTTGCCACAGAAATACGCCACATGACCCCAAACCTTGTTGTGCTGTAGGTGCCACTTCTTGGAAAAAAATAACCAGCCATGGCCATCAGTGGAACCTACAATGTCCAAACTCACTTAGTCAGCAGCTGTGGCAAGATATGATTATGCCCATTTTCTGTGGCAAATATAGCTATACAGTAAGCCTTCAATATATATAACAAAAACCCGACTGGCCAAGAGAATGACAGAATGAGAGTCAAGTTAAATTCAGTACATCCTTTTTCTTTTCCCTGTTCTTTATCGTGAAAAGTTTTACTCCAAAAGAAGAAAACCACCATTGAGAAAAACTAGTTCCCGCCTACAAAATTGCTGGCATGACTGCAAGACCTTAGGAAGCTGTGCCTACAGAATACTGGTGTTGTTTTTGCATGGCCTTACCATGAACTTGGAAGTAGTCACAGATTTCTCAAAACGCAGATATATATTATATACACACGGGTATTGTGAAATGAAAACCTATTTTCTCTTTAGAATAATGTGCAACTATCTGAAGATTTTAAATCTCAGAGCCCTTCATATTAGGACGCACTCCTGTTCTTTTCTTTGACTTGATGACTTGACATTTCCATACAAAAAGGGCTCTGGAACCGGTGATACTGGTCAGAAAGTTTTGACCTCTGGAGGAGAGCAAAGGCAGCTATATTCACCCTGAATATAGAAAAAAGATGCAAAAGATTTACAACTAGCTCACTACCGATCAAAACACAACAGAGTAGGGGGGCGTTGTATTGTGACGGGCTGAATCTTTTAGTTGAAGACGACGCTCCCTATTTGAACGACTAGTGAGGTTTACCGAGAAATCGACAAGTGAGCGGTGTGGGAAGTGCGTTGGCTGCACGCATGTAACAATGTCTTCCGTAACACTATCGGTAAGGTGCTCAAAATCCTTAACAAAACCATTTAGCTTTGAAAAGTCATTCACTTTACAATGGTCATACATCTGTGCCATAGCACTGACATGGCTGCATTAAATCTGATGAGCACCTGCCACAGTCAGCCCCATTACAGTTGAGATTCCCACCCTGCTGGCAAGGCTCTTGAACTAGTGGACAAGTGCACACAGGGCTCTTTTAGAGTAGAGCAGTAGCAGAAGCATTTAAGGTTGTGTTACCGAAGAAGTGACTGATCGGTTAGTTTACAAACTCCTAACTTTTGCTAGTGTGCGAGTGGAACAGACAGACAGACCGACAAAGAGCTATGGATAAAAAAAAAAAAAGAAAAGAAAAGAGAAATACTTTCACAACTAAAGCCAGTGGCTTTTGTCGGAACACACATTTCCCCCCCTAAATCCCACTGGTCCATCACTCAACCCGCCTGCCTGTCCTGTTCTAGCATTGAGCAGGATAATAATATATCTGTATTTAAATACACACAAAGCCTATACAGGCAAGGGAACCACCACACAGGAAAACAAGGTTATACACAGAGCGGGGAGAGATGAAAAGCAGTCAAATAAAAAAACAAAACAAAAAACAAAAAACAAATGAAAGTTACATCATACAGAGGCTCTGGAGGTTATTATGGTGAAGGAGAGACATCAAGCTCTGAATACTTGTTGATCAAGACCAGACCAGACTGGGCCATGCCAGACCAGAGGGCATTAGAAGCAGCAGAATGACCTGTTTTAGCGGACAAATTAAAAATGGGCTTGACTCAAGTCTTGTTTGTGGTCAGAGATCACAGATTGGTATGACTTCAAACTGAACGAATATCACATTTTAATTAGAATATCCAGTTTTAATTGGATAGTATTAATTTGAAAAAGTATTTAAAATATCAAAGACTGAATCGGTTTTTCCAAGTCACTGGCTAACTAGATAATCAAGAGGCAACGCTAGAAAACAGGGAATCATTTGGAAAATGGTAGGCCTTGATTGTGTGCTAAAATCCCTGTGAAAGAAATGCAAAAAATAAAAGTAAAATAAAAACAATCAGCTCACATCACTTCACATAAATGTAATTCATAGATTGTTTTAAGATCCAGTTTTTCACTTAGCTCTGCTTTTGGCCTGGTACAGAGGTCTGAGTTGACTCAGACTTGGTTGGTCTGGCCTGGTCTTGACACAGTTTAAGCTGTGTTGAGTTGGATTTGCCATCCCTGCCTACATGCCCATGCTGAAGGCGTTCAGCTCGCGGTGGAAGTGCTGGGTGGGTTCGGACAATACCAGGCTGGAATCCAGGCAGGGGTGCCAGACACGGCCGAGGCCCAGTGAAACCTCTTTGACCAGGTTATGGACCGGATCCCCCTCCATGCACACCGACTGGTCCGGATCGAAGTCGATGCTCTCCTCAGAGACGGTAAGCACGCGAAGACTGGAGCCTCGCAGACGAGAGATGGCCACCAAGTTATGGGACCATACAGTGTAACCTAGAGCGAGAGATGTGTTCAGGGAGGTTGGAATAATCTTGTCGATATTAAGGATAAATAATGAATATACAGCTTTCTACTTATTGGGTACAAAACACGACATAATATACGACAATAAAATGAATAAAAGAAAAAACACGTGGTTGAGAATGACCATGCTTGCAATTATGTTTTTAATGCCGTTATCTCAAGATCACAAGTTAACTGATCTTGTTATCTCGAGAAATTCTTGAAATAACGAGATAATTTATGAGAAAACGACTTTTGTTTTCTCAAGATCTTGGGATAATTATGAAGAACTCAAAAATGAGTGTCTGGTTAATTAGATTACACCTGATTTCAGCATTCAATATCACTGCCATGACTGTCAGGGAGGATTCATAATCAACCTGAAAAGAGTTGTTACCAGAATGTACATCTGAGATGTAAGCTATTCATTTCCTGGCAGATCCCCGCAAGGTCCACGTTCTTTTCACACACTTGGTACTCTGTGCTTGCTCATTTTGGTCAGTATGAAAATGAATATTAACCGCATGCCATCCTCCATGCATTGTCCATTATGTTGAACCAATGCTATATCTATAATATGCCATCTAAGCATACTGGCATTGCACTCTGATAAACATTATAAGTAAGAAGAGGAAATAACCTTTTGTTTTCCCATGATAAAGGTTTGATTATCTCAAAATATCTCGAGATACCAAGCTTCTTTTGAGAGAACAGTTTAAAGCAGTTCAGATCACACCAATCAAGCCTGAACCAATGTTTACACAATGCTTCACTACCACTACAACAGCTTGTGTTTGCCATCATAATATCATCAACTCACCATGTATCACCAATACAGCCAGCTGAGTACATCTCCATGCCAAGAGGACCAACGGGTCTTCGTTTCGATTCACACTGAGGTCAGGGAAGTCGGGGTCATCCCTCAGGAGCAGGAAGTGAGTCAGCGTTTTGTTGTACTGCTGAGAGATGAGTTCCAATGTGGCGTCGGACACCAGTGTGCTGTAACTATCGAGGTGGAGGCGCTCCAGAGGAAGGCTCGGCTTTAGGACCCGGAGGAGCTCTGAGCTGTCGACCTCCAGGGCCATGATGTACACTCGCAGGTTGGCACTCACACGAACCTGGGGAGGAGCAGGTAAACTTGACTGACGTACACATGGAGACTTGTACTAACTCAAAGCTGGAGGCAGCAGTGATGAGACAAAATAGTGGATGTAACTGTTGGTTCATTGGCATAGGACATTTCAACCAACACTGACAACTTGTAATCAATTAGAGCTGGCTGGGGGCCAGAGAGACAAAGATGCTGCATTACCAGAGCCTTCCAATCATCCTCTGTAGCTGTTCCTTCTAATGGTTTGAACTCCAGGGCGGCGCCATTGAGCAGCAGGGAGAGGCGATGCAGTGGAGTTCGGCGTGGAGATGCCAGCAGACCACAAAGCTCAGATGTCAAATCAGAGAAATCCAGAGCCAGAGAATGAAGATTAGATAGACGATCCATCTCTGACGGTGAGATGAGGGGACCTGAAGAAAATTCAGAAGATGTGTCATGGATTTAAACTAATATAATGCTTGGTTTTTTTAACTGCATTGTCAATGTTCCATACAAACAGATTCCACCCACACATACCCAGCTGGTGGTCCAGTAAACTGAGGTGCTGCAAGGTCTCAGCGGAAGGATTTGACAGGCAGGCTAATGAGCAGGGAGTCACCAGACCCAGCATAAAGCTACAAGACAACCACCTCAGCTGCCTGCTGTTGGACAACAACTCCATGAACAACTGCTGGATTCTGCAGAGAGCACAGGGGAAGGGTAATGAAAAGAGGGATGAGGAGAATTAGCTTCAATTCACTTTACCGGCTTGACTACAACTTCCTGCAAGTCCAATTTAAGACACAGTGAGAGCTGTTTGTGCCAGTTCAAATCAAATCCATTTCAAATTCCATGTACACAAAGTAAAACAGGATAAAGACCAGCATTTACATTTGTGCAAAGAGAAAGATATGTAACCGAAAAAGACTATGCCAAGGAAAATATTTTATGCTTTTGAATAAGAATGTACACATATATTTGGCATTATTTGGATAATTTGAGGTTCATAAAAACAGTCCAACATAATTTAGATTGTGCCAAATCCTCCAGACTACAAAGTAAAACATAAAAGGTATGAATTGACATCATATTTTCATGTGATGCCACCCACCTCACTACCGCTGAGTTGCAGAACTAACCCACACTTGTTGCTATGAATGAGAAGTACTGTGATACAAAAAGAAAGGCCATCCAAATTGGCAACGATTTGTATACTTTTCTCAACAGTCAATGGATTGTGTACGTAGAAATGGGTCTGA